CCAGCCACTGTCCAGCTCCTGCAGCGCCACCCGCGGGTAGTTCTGGGAGGAAGTCAGAAGAAACACAATCAGATATACATTATGGGTCTATCACAAACTGGCAAGACTTCCACCACTGGCAGTACATTTTGGCTGGCAGTCAAAGATATATAGCAAAGCCTGAAGCAACCAAGAGACAAATTTTAATGGAGTTCTCATCCTCATGTTTTCAAAGGTGGATGGCTGAAGTGATTCCACACTGGAAAAAGTGAGTATTTGGGGCCAAGTCCTTCCCACCTAGACACCCTGTAGTGCCAGTAAGTGACTAAACATGACTATTTTGGACACAGTGTTTGTGTACCACCTTCATGGTATACTTCCTTTGAAGCTCCTCTTTTGTTTATATATGAAAACTTTGAAAAACATTAGTTCAAGGGAAGGCATATTCAAACGACAGTGTTTGGTTAAATTGTTTGTATTCAAGAAAGGTGACTGTTTCCAAAAAAATCATGGCATTTTGTAAATTCAAAAACATTATACTGACTTAAGCAGAGTAAGATCCTCACAATTATTCATGTTTGCTAGAAGAGCCTTAATATTTGGATATGGATTTTAATTTTCTGCAGCAGAAGCAGACAACAAGGCCTTCTTTCTGAAATAACTAATAACAACGACCTCAGACACTTCATACAGCAATCTAGCGCACATGACATAACAACCATAACTGGCCCAGCTTTCAATCCAGTGTGAAAACACTAAAATCCAGGTGATGCTGTTTGTGTTTAGTCCATCCATCCATTATCTATAGAAGAGGGTTGTAAGGGGCCTGGAGCCAATCCCAGCTGACACTGGACAAAAGGCAGGGTACAACCTGGACAGGTCGCGAGTCAATCACTTAGAGACAGACAACCACACACATTCACTTCTACAGGCAAATCAGTGTCACCAGTCAATCTAAGCTGCATGTCTTTGGACTGTGGGAGAAGTACACTGAGAGAACCCACGCAGGCACAGGGAGAACATGCAGACTCCACACAGAAAGGCTCCGGATCGGCCGGGTCTTGAACCCACTGTGAGGAGACAGTGCTAGCCACTGCACCACTATGCTACCCAGCTGTATTTTGTAAACATAAAAATTAACACTATACCTATGTAAACATTATTGCTCTGGAAAAAGTCAATTTAAGGATAGGTCTGTAGAACAAATGTGTGTTTTTACCTGAAAGTCATCAATAGATGGGGCGGAGCGCTGGGCTGTGCGGCGGCGGTGCCACTGGTGGAGTGTATCTCTGGTTTCAGAGCTCAGCACTCTGGCTGCCTGATCTTCCTGGAAGTTTCTGATCAGGGACATTGCTCCATAGGCACTGGTCAGATAGTAGCCACCTGGATATGGACATAGTGGCAAAGTGTTCACGAGAAGTACACAAAGGACAATGTGAAGACCATACTGTATATTCCTAGAGTAAGTTGTATTGTCCCAAAGGATTTGTTCATCATGTGTAGACTGTGGAGTATTTATGGCAGAGGTTCTCCAGAATAAACTAAAGGGGTTTTTCCATTATAGGAACCTACCGAAACAAGTTGTGCTGAGTAATGCTGGGTTCTAGGTTTGTTTTTGAACATACTGTTTTGAAAATACAGTAGAAAAACAAAGCAGGATGGTTCATGTCAACCACAAAGGTTGGTGATAAAGAAAAGTACGGGGTATACCGCTTGTTTAGTTCAGTTAGTGGAAACGCTGCAAAAGATACCTTCTCCATGAAGCAGCGAAGGGTCCAGCAGTTCCATCATGTAAAGTATCTCATTGTCTAGCTGGGGCATGTCACACTGGGCCAACACATAGGTCAACATGGGCAGGAAATCATCAGCACCACACAGACGACCTGAGACAGACCAGGGTCATTAGAGTCTTTTAAGGTTCTTATTTTCCAGTGTCCTGAACTTATAGACAACTGTCTTTCCCCTTTTGATTACCCAATACATGAATATTATTTAGAGTACAAGCAATGTGACGAGGACTTAAATCCCCTGAAAATGCATTTCATGTTTATGTACATTGGGACAATGTGCAAAGTTTCTGTGAAATGGAAATTATCCTTTTTTTTGCATATTAAAGAATACAAAAAAAATTTAAAATACTTCCCAGACACAGAAATTCTGTTCACTGCATGCAAAAGTGATGTAAAATACCACTGAGGTCTTTATGTCAAGTTCAGTGATTAAGTGAGAAGTTAGTTTAAATGTGTTTATCTGTGTGTAGCCTTGGTCTCTACCTGAATTCTCCTCCATGATGGTGTAGATGAGTTTGCATACTCTCAGCAGCATGGTGACCTTCTTCTCCGGGGAGTACAGTTTACACATGGTATGGAACTTGTGCTTGATCTTCTCTATGGCTACAGGGTCTGGAGGCAGCATGCTGGCCACGCCCATTTCCTGAGGCAGCTGGGCCTTGGCCAGTGACAGGTTCTCCTTCAGCTCCTGCCAGGCCGTACTACGCACCTGGAATTCCTGCAGGGCGACACTCACAACCGGTTTGAGAGGCTTCAGGACACACTTGTGCATGGCCTTCTCCAGGACCCTGTCTGAGGAAAGGAGGAAATACATGAGATTTTTAAATTGGATTAAGTTACAATTCAAAATATTTAACATGTTCCATACTTTCAGGAGACTTTCTAAAGCCACTATAGTTTTTAACAAGCATTAATGAAACAGGAGCAACAGTTTGAGAAAAAAATTGGGACACATACTGTACTAATGTTCTGTTTTTTGATCAGTGAATAATCCGATGGGCACGAAATGGACAGGCAGATCGGGGCAGTTTTGTTAAGACTTACATTCAAAGCCCTGGTCCTTGGCAAAATTCAAATCTACGATATTAATAGTTACACTGTTTATTCTATGTAATAAATAAATGCAACTTCAACTATTTAATATGAAATAATGTCACTATCAGCACTGTGCACTCAGTTTTGTTTTTTTTAGGTCATTTAATTTCAGAACAAAAACCAAGGTTAATATCTCATTCCTTATCAGACTTGTTGTGCACACATTGAGTGTCAACACAATCAGCCAAAACAAGCTTTCCAGAGACTGTCAAGGTCAGATCATTCATTTTTTGTGCAGTTGTATTGTCTTGTCTGAAACCCTGCCTGGCATTGTTCACCATCTGTATACTTCAAAGTTGAGGAAAGCTGAGTGTGTTGCTGTTATTATTGCTAAATTATCCAGCAACAGCAAGCACGTTTTACTAGCTCAGCTTGTGCAGTCTGACTAACACAAACCATGATATCATACAGACAGGATGGATGCAGAGAGGGAGGCCAAACCACAGCAGTGCTGAATAAGGATCATGTGCGAGTGTGTTGCTGACTGTTCTCTAGAACAGAGTGAAGTCAGCAGTTTTTTTTGGCTGAGGACATCTGCAGACAGATTTTACTTTCCACAAAAGATGAATGACAGTCAGCATCTGGCATTCACGTAAATCAGTATCTGTGAATTCACTGATTGTAATGCAGCATTTCCCCACACCCGCATTGCTGCTATGTCCTTAAACCTTTGTTGGACACAGACCAAACAGCTCAGGGCAAAGTGACATGCAGAGGAATGCCATTTGTCCCAGGCTCTCACAAATAACATTCTCACTTCCTCAATCCATACCTACATAATGATTCAGTAACCAGAAATAGGGATCCAGCATAATGAACTAGCATCAGCATGATGAATGTTGTTTTTCATTTGTAACTTTTGACTGGCACTGATTATGAGCGAATAACAAGTACATTTGTTGGTCTTCACCAAATATTTGTAAAATACCAGAATGTGACTTTTGACATCATGACAATTTTAAAGTTTCTGTGATGCACAAAATAACCAATCTAATTGGAAACAACCGTCTTTCTACCCATTATATTAAAAAAACTTCTTGAGGTTTGGACATGATGAATGTCATGCCAAATATTTTGTTTTTCATTTGCTCCATTTGTACTTGATTGAATAAAACTATGCTGAAGTGGGAAGAAATTGTAATAATTTGTGCCATAATTACTGTAAAATCTGCAGCAGGTACAAGGAAACACCAAATGTTTTATGGTAAGTCTCAATATTGGTATGACATAATAGTATTACCACCTTAAGCTATTTCCTTGCTACTTGTTATGGTAGGTACTTTCTATGAATCGTAAGGACTCAAAAGTTTATTGGGACCTCCTAGACGTAGCTCAGCCCAAGGAAGTCGCCCCCAGTGCTTCCCGAGAGCCGGGATCTCAGACAGGTGGTTGGATGACAGTTTGCAAGAGTCGTAGCTCGAAACAAATACCCAAAGTGCATCACCTGCCTGTTCACGTTTGAAATCGATTTTCCCCACTCAGTGACACACCCGCTGAGAAAACAACTCTGGTAATTGGAGACTCCATTGTCAGAAACGTGAAGCTAGAGACACCGGCGGCCATAGTCAAATGTCTTCCTGGGGCCAGAGCGGGTGACATTGAATCCTATGTGAAGCTGCTGACTAAGGACAAGTGTAAATGCAGTAAGGTTGTTATTCACGTCGGCGCTAATGACTCCCGACTTCGCCAGAGGTCGCTAAAACTAATGTTGAGCCGGTGTGTAACTTCATCAGAACAATGTCGGACTCTGTAGTTTTCTCTGGACCCCTACCCAATGTGACCAGTAATGACATGTTTAGCCGCATGTTGTCATTCAACCGCTGGCTGTCTAGGTGGTGTCCAGAAAATAATGTGGGCTTCATAGACGATTGAAAACATTTTGGGGAAAACCTGGTCTAATCAGGAGAGAAGGCATTCATCCCACTTTGGGTGGTGTGACTCTCATATTGTTCTTCCCAGGTTGTTAAGTCGAGCACAGCTATACAGACAGATAAACTCCTGGACAGGTGACAGATGTAATGTCTGTTTATTATGACGCTTCCTTCACATGCCCATAAGGAGTGAAACTGAAAGAAATAAACATGTCCCTCAGAAAAACTCAAGTTATTGTGCTTGTGCCTGAAAATCTTAGAAATCTGCTGTATAACCATAGTTATTCTAGATGACATAGCTCTGGCCTCCAGTCCTGCTGTGAGGAACCTTGGAGTCATTTTTGACCAGAATATGTCCTTTAAATCACTGATAAACTAGAACTGCCTTCTTTCGCCTGCGCAATATCACAACAATCAGGAGCATCCTGTCTCAAAGTGATGCTGAAAAACAGGTCCATGCATTTGTTACTTCCAGGCTGGACTACTGTAATTCTTTGTTATCAGGATGCCCCATTAATTCCCTAAAAAGCCTAAGGTTAATCCAAAATGCTGCAGCCAGAATACTGGCAGGAACTAGCAAGAGAGATGATATTTCTCGCATATTTCTCTCTTCTTTTGTTTTCCATAGCTCAGAGGAACAGCCGAGGATACATGTTGACCCCATTGGACTTCTGTGCTCTGTTGTGATTTCATAGTAAGTTTGTGCATTTAACTTACATGGCACTTTGACTTCTCCATTAAGGTAACTGGCTGAAATCACAATCTCTCTTGGATTGTTATTACACAGACAACAGAAAAAGCAGGAGTCAAGTCAGTTTAAGGGCAACTTATTAGCCAAAACAAGCTAATACTTGCTAAAACACACATACTTTTTTCCACAAAACACACCTCTTCCCACTTGATGTAAACATATATATTTATGACAATTTCACAAAAAATTTAAACATTTTGAGCTTCATAAACACCGATATTAAGGTGGAAGTGTTGCACTGAAGTGCATGCAATTGTACAGGTCAGGCAGTGTATCTCTCTATAGTGAATGCCCTGGGAAATCAGCCGAGAAATTGCTTGTTGCTTTTTTACTTTGGGAAATGCTCATTCATTTTCTTGTTGAAAGCTAGATCTTTCCTGTTGAAAGGATCAATATGTTTATTATATCTGTACAGTAAACAGGAAGCCAGCATACTGTTAGCTTAGCACAGACTGGAAGAAGGGGGAAATAGCTAGCCTGGTCCAGTCCAAATCATTACTCACTAACAAACTTGTTACATGTCATTTCCTTAAGGGAAAGACATATTGTTACAATTTGTGACTTTACAGGGGTTTATATTCTGGACTGCTAAGCTAAGAGGCTGCTGGCTCCAGATTCAGTAGAAGGAGATAGAAATGAGACACTTGGCAATAAACCGAATAAGCATGTTTCCCCAAAATGAACTATACATTTAATCGAGTGACCCTCCCACATTAAGATACTTACATGCATGTTAATTTAATGCCTGAACACTTTGTGAAGCACCACAAACTCTATGAAACTGAGTTGGCTCAGGCTAGTTGCTGGAGGAAAGCCTCATAGGATGAGTGGAATACAAGTAACTCTATTCCAACACCATCCTCCACATTTGAAACCTTGTGCCTGTTACCTTAAAAGAAAAATCTTCCTGGATTTGTATGAGAAAGACAGAGGAAAGAAAACACAGCAACCTAAGAAAAAAAAAAGCAAAGCGAGCCTCAGAGACCAACAGAGTGAGTCAGAAAGAGGAGGGAGCTTGCCTTAGATCCCCTCACTCTGATTGGAGAGTAGGTATAAAAGAATAGGCGTTGGAGTAAAACAAAGTTTGCACGACTTGGCAGGCAGCCACTCAAATGCATCTGAACTGGCTGGCCTTTGAGCTCAGTAGAAAACAGTCTCTGAAGCTGCCACAACAAAATATTGTGCAACTACTCCAAGAACTAAAACCACAACAGTTCCCAGTCTGTCATTGCTGTGCCAAATACACCATTCAGAAAACAGGGATGAGAAGGGACAACATGACATGCGACATACAAACAAAAACATAACTGCATTTTGAAATATTGTCTTTAATGTTTTTCCTTCTAACATTGCACTATTAGTAGGTGTCAAACAAACCTCACATTTAATATTTAAATCTTTGTTTTTATACATTTTTGAATATTTTATGCCTTTATTAGGTGGTGGACAGGAGATGGGTGTTCATGCTATGTGGTGACTACTGATAAAAAGAACAGCTTTTCACTCAGTTCATGGCTTCATAATTATAGCACTGAACTGGGCCAGAAGAAACAGGTTAGTTCAACAGCGGCCTTCTTCCTGAGAGAAAGCCCTCTTTGTGCTCTCTGTTTACATGTTACCCTGTCCAAAGTCTAATGCAGCCACTGAGTCTTGTCCTAAATAATTCAGCCTGCTCTTCCGGCAGGTGTGTGTGTGTATTTGTGTGTGTTCTTTTGTATGGTTGTGTCTGGTTTTCACTTTTCATGTTGCTGTGATGGTATTGTGTGATGCAAGAAAGGATGGATATAATAAATAACAATAAAAGGGACTGACTTAACAGCATGCATGACAATATTCTTGGCTTCACCAGGAAATGCATACATACATATAAACACATATGCACACATTCAGCTGCAAACAGATGAGGAATACACAATTTTTCCAATTTCCTCACTGCTGAAATATCAAAGTGAAACTGCTCCATCTGCATTAACTACACAGTTTCAGCAGTTAGGATTACTCCACCAACACATCACTCATTGACAATTCCTAAAAATACTCACAAAATTATTCATAAGGACACACAAAAAAGACTTCTAGCCCACTCCATGTTGAATTGAGAATGAGGTCATATTGCTTAAAAGATAGAAATGTAGCATATCAAGATCAAAGATTTTTTTTATTGTTAATTCACTATATGTGCAGGAAATACAAAAAAATCGAAATACCGTTTCTCTCTCACCTAGTATACCATTTAGGAAACTAAAAATAGAATAAAAGTAGAGTAAAAATACTAAAAAGAATAAGAAAACTAAGTCAAAGTGATTAGGATAAAACTAAAAAGTACAACCTAATAGGCTATGACTCAGACCCTGTACAATCAGTGACAGTATGTCAGATCTCAGCATGTCGGTGATGTGATCAGAGAAACCCAGGTGGGGAGGGAGGCTTTGTATGCTCCCTTGCATGTGGTGTACACAAGGTCCAGTGTCTTGTCTCCTCTCATTGGAAAGTCCACATGCTGGTGCAAATTGGGCAATAAAACCTTTAAATCTGCGTAGAGTCCGGGGTGTTGTCATTGAGCCATGTCTCCGTAAAAATGAAAACACAGCAGTCCCTCACTTCACGCCGCGCAGATCTCAGGAGCTGTATGTGGTCTGTTTTGTTGTCCAGTGAGCGTACATTGGCCATAATGAGGGGTGGTATCGTGGGTCTGTGTGGGCTAGCTGCTAGCCTAGCCTGGATGCCCCCCCCCCCCGTTTGCCCCGCTTCTGCCCCAGTTTGCCCCGCTTCTGCTTTTGTTCACAACGCTTCCGACACCTCCTCTCAGGGGGTGGTGTAGCTGGCATGTCTGGTGATGTAGGAATCCCGCAGAGAACCCCCTGGTCTCGGAAGTTCCTCTGTGACTTCCTGGTCCAAGTTGAAATGTTTTGACTTATTCCCTATATCCATAAGGCAGTGGCGACTGTATCTTGAGCGCAACATAGACATCAAACTACACGCACTAGAACATAAACACGACAAACGCAAACACACACTAGAACACACATTATTAGGCACACAACCGGGAGAGAGACGAGCCGTTGTGTCTGTTTGTGCCGCTGCCATGTTTACATCAGTGTAATCTTAAAGCGGTTCACTAAACCCTTAGTAAAACAACATTCAATTACTGTAATTTAATCATTAAGCTGACACCGTTTTCCAAAGTGAGGTAACCATGATAGTTGAGGTGCACAAGTCATTCCTTCTAAAACTAGTGAAATAACAAGGGTGACAAACTAATAACCAGAGTAAACAAAGGTAAAACTCACCAATTTGGTCTTCAGGGATAAGGCTCTCAATTGGTGGGTCCATCTCAGAACTCTGTCTCAGGTAACTCTTCATCTGAGTGATGAACTGGCGGAGAGTCTGCAGCAGTTCCACTCTGGAGGCAAAGCTCTGCCAAGCCTGGGTGCCCGCACCCTCACCCATGTAGCTCAGGTAGTCTTGCACCAGGGAGCCAAAGTATGAGTCTTTATCTTTGGACAGTTCCACCACCCGGCGGATCATCCTCTTCTCCGGTGTCAACAGTGAGTTGAAAACTCCACTCATCTTGTGCAGGGGCCCTTGCAGGGCCCTCTGAAGGGCCAAGGCACTGGCACTGGGGCAACGCTTTGTGCGATGTCCTGGTGGCACCATGGTCAGGTTCTGGTCACTCTCAAGGCTGACACAATAGTTGGACTCCTCTTCGTTTTCGTCCTCCTCCTCCTCCTCCTCATCATCATCATCTTGATCCATGCTACAATCAAGTGGGTCAGATGGTGGGATAGACAGGGGGAGATGGGTGTTAAAGTCAGCCTGAGTAGGGGGGTTTAGGTCAGACAGAGGAGAAAGAAAGAAAGACAAGGACTGGGAGAAATCCAGAGAGTCTGAGGAATCTGTGGAAAGACTCATGTCACTCAGCCGCTGGCTGCCTCCACTGCATTCCTCACCTGCTTCTTCCTCTCCTCCTTGCATCTCAGTATGGTCTGGAGGACTGCTGGAGTTAGTTCTGGCAGCGTTATGCTGGAACTTTTGGGCCTTTTGGAGGGCCTCCTCAATAGTGTGGTCCTCCAGTGCCAAGTGGCACTGGGCATCCTCCTGGCTGGATGGTGGTGAAGCCTTGGCCAAACAAGGAGAGGATGAGAGAGATGATAGAGAAACAGGCAGGGAGGGCCAGGGGATGGATATAGGGGAGCTAAGGCTGAGTCTCTTGGGAGGAGAGGATAAAGGGCTGATGCTTAGTGAGGAGCCCAGACGAGATAAGAGGCTGCTGTTCCTCTCTTTGTCCTCCACCTTCTCCTTGATCCAGGAAATCTTCTCTGGCATGCTGTGCTGTTGAACAGGAAGAGCTGAGCACTGTGGGATAAAGTGTGGCAGAGGTGGACGAGGAGGTGGGGACCAAGATGCACTCTGTGCAGCACTATGCTTCTGTGCGTTATTGCCTTGTAGCTCTGTGTTTCTGCCAAGGCTCTGAACGTCACTTTGACCTGACTGGCTACTACCACTGTGATCTGAGCTACAGAGCTGAGGACTGTTGCTACAGCAGTGCTGAGCGTCCTTGTTGTTGGTTTCTAAGTTGTTACTAACTGGTTCCTTACTTAAGCACTGCGTTGCTGTGCCAGATGTGTTGGCAGTAGTTGTCTGGTCTCTGTCTGGGTGGTGGACCTTTATGAAGAGGGGGTTGATAAAGCACAGTGCTCCATTGGGTTGGCAACATTCAAGCTCGGATGGGGTGCGAGTTTGAAGCCGAATATATGTTGGAGTGGTTGCCAAGGAGACTAGACTCTGGGGGGGAGGTGGTCTATTGGGAGCTGCTGCTCTTGACAGTGAGACTAAACTCTTCCTCTTGTGGCACAACTGAGCATCCCAGAACCCTGTGTCAGACAGAGAGAGAAATATTATACCTATTATTGTGAGTATGTTGTGGTACAACATGTAAGTACCAAATATAACATATCTGGTTACTGTTTCATCCACAGGGGTTAGCAGTGCCATGATTCTCAGAACACAGTAGTATGAAGCCAACGTTATCTTAGGCAAACCTAGACCACAGAATCAGTAGCTGCCTTTTCACAAGCCTTCAGACAAAGTTACAGTCAAACACCAATTCCAGTTCTTTTCAGCAGATCACGTAACATCAATTAGAGGTGCACTGAACAGCATATTCAGTGTGTTTTTTAGTTAGTAAGCCCTTTGACCTAAACAACTGTAGTCTTATTAGATTAATGCAGTCTGAATAGCCTACAGTCTACATGAGGGCATGCAATGAACATGAATTCAGAATTGGTTCTATACACCTCTACTGTTCTTGAATGTTTGGCAAAACAGCACTAATGAGATTAGTCCAGCTCACCATTTGGAAAATTAAGGCTTCCTAGCATGAATTTGCAGCAACACCAAGCAGTCAAAAACAATGTCATCACAGTTGGCAAAGATTTGACTGCATTCATTTGTGGTGGCATTACCACAGTATTTTAATTACAGCAGGTAGTCTAAAAGAGACAGAGATGAAAATCTCTTCCACTTTAGTGTTAAAACAGAATCTGTCTGGGCCAAAGCAATAGCCACATACACTCACTAGCCACCTTATTAGGTACACTTTTACAATTACATGCAATTCATTGCAACACTTCTGCATTAACATCTGTGTTTATGAAGCTAAAAATGTTTCAGTTTTTGGGGAAACTGTCATAAATTGTAAGATCAATTATATGTTTATTACTGAGTGAGGTCAAAGGTGGTGTTGTACTGTCAAATTGTGCCATATTACAGTAAGTAGAAAAAAAGGCAAGGAAAAAAATAAAAAGAAAATACATTCACATTATGGATGATTAAATTTGTCCATTCATCACCTCATTGTGACAGTAGCCCTGCAACAATAACCTATCTCATAAAGCCTCTCAATGCAGCTTAGCACAAAATCACTGCACACAGAGATTCAGCCTGTCAGGGAGCCCTTTCCCAAAAAAAAAGAAAAAGAGGTATATAGAACTGCACAACTTTACTTCTTCAGAGTCCAAGCTGTATCAGACGACGACAACAACAACTAAATAAAATTAATTAAAATACAAAAAAGTGGAACACACACACACAAGTGGAAACAAGGGGTACTAGTGCCAGACACAGAGCAGCCCCTTCACACAACCACAGAATATAAAAGATAGGACAACAATACTCACTGTGATGCCAAAGCTCACTGACACAAAGACGAGCTGCTGATCTCACACTATGTGACACTACTGTGTCTGGGCAAGCTGAAACTTAACTGGCTTCTCTGACTCACTGTGTTATGACTCACTCATGATAAAGTGTGTGGGCGGGCTGTGAACACATTATTCCCGCCTCTCTCCCTCCCTCCCTCTCAGTTGAAGTTGCATGGTTTCTTTCTCAGTTGTTCTCTCTCTGATGCACCAAGACAAAGGTTTTCCTATTTCTCTCCAGCCCTACGCTCCTGTTCACTCTCTCTTCTATTTATTTCTTCTCCCTTTTTTTGGTACATGCTCTGGTTGTATTATTTATCACAATAGTTAACTTTAGGTAGACAATTGTGATAATTCTGTTTTAAAGATATTTCACAACTTGTCTTTCTTGACACTTCAAATTTAAAAGAATTTATAATTATTCACTAACAAACGCAAGGATGTTTGCTCCCTGATGACCTGGTGGCAAAGATTCAGCACTCTTGCTGCCGCAGCCCAGGTTCGATTCCCGGTCGGGGAACTTTTAGCCACAGGGGTTTTACTTCTGAGAAAGAAGGTTGTGTCAGGAAAGGCATCCAGGATAAAAATCGTGCCAAATTTCATACCGTGCGAATTGTCAGTGTGTACACAGATGATTCGCTGTGGCAATCCCTAAGGGGTCCAGCCAAAAGTAGCACACACATGCAAAGATATTCATACAGGCACATACAAGGAACAGTGTTACCGTTTAGTGTTCAGTCTCATTCACGCTGTATTTGTAACACCTAGGACTGAAAGCCCAGGTGTGGCTTGGTGTACTTGGTGTAACAACTGTACCTGTATCTTTCTGCAGGTAGCCCTGGAGCTCTACATTTCTGATGAGCAGCCACCAGCCACATCAGCTTGCCCAGGATTTTTGTTTGTTGTTGTGTATTTTTGCTTTTCTTTCCTCTATCCACTCACCCCAACCGGTCGAGCCAGAAGGCCGCTCACCAAGAGCCGGGGAATGTCAGAGGTTTCTCCTGTTACAGGGAGTTTTTCCTCCCCGCTGTTGCAAAATACTGCTCAAGGGGGTTTTGCTGGGTTTTTTCCTCTAAAATAATAATAATAATAACAGTAAGGTCTAGACCTTACTTTCTAAAGTGTCCTGAGATGACTTGTTGTGATTTGGTGCTATACAAATAAAAATTGAATTGAATAATTTTGTAGATATCGGCATCAATGTATTGGTATCTAATGTATGTATGTATGTACGTATGACTATTTATGTAATGTAATGTATTATCTAAATATATACATACACATAATTACAGATGTAGGCATTCAAAGTGTCAGTCTCGGCGATAAGTGGCCACTTTCACCGCAAATGTTTGTCATTTGTCCCGCAGCATGGCATGTATTACAGTATAATCTCTGTAGGTGGCACTCAGCCTACACTCACAGGTACCACACCCCATGCATACACAAATCATAGCCCATAGGCTACTATATGAATGTCTACTCAGAAGTAAAGAAAAAGCCCTGTGGTCAAGCTTCACTTTAAACCGTGATTATAATGTGTGTGGACTGTGATACTACTTTTTTAGATTTTCCTTTGGACAAATGAGCCATCCTTCTCCCCTAGAAACTACTCTCCTAAAGTATGCAACTAAACTGCAAACACATACGTTCTGAAGGGAATGTAACACAAAGCATTTTAGCCCCAAAAGAGGGGGCTAAACACCATAACACCAGAAATGAAAGTGATCACAAAATTAAGATAATTTGGCAACTGAAAAATGAAACAGTGCAGCAGTGATGATATATGTCTGTTGCAGCCTCCCATCAGCAGAGTGATCACACAGCCCTTTCACATCTCATATTGTCACGTATTACATTTTATTTTCCACTGTAGTTCACACCTTGCAGGTCTATGGACACAACCTACACATCATCAGAAAATGAAAACCTTTGTGAACATTCTTTCTCCTGTTAATATCAAATAGATTAAGGGAATAAGTATTAAAATGACCAGTGTTGCAAATACACTTAAGCAATTAAATATAGCAACTATCAGAGTAACTGTGTTGCCTTGCACTGGGCTCTGCCTTCAACAGAATTGACACACAGACATGTGATTGGCTGAAATGTTGTGTTGAGAGAACATCGTGCATTCAGTAGCAGTCACTTTTTATTTGTAATTTGTAATTTGAAAATGGAGTCTTTCACTTGTTTTTCTGATGAGGGGTTAAAATAATGTCCAGTACCAAGGGCTGCACGCTCCAAGCTGGTAACACCATATGACACCATGAGTTAGGTGTCACTTCTCAGCAAATGGCACTGCCCCGGCAGGCTTGAACTCAAGCATCCAAAATACCAGCGCTATGTTTTGGGGCTTCACTATCTGCTCCAAACAATAACAGCTATCTGCTGTGTCTGTATAACAATGCAGTGTTTCATTCATTCAAAAAGACGTTGCATCGGAGTATTATCCAACAATCAAACATGATCCCTAAAAAAACATTGCACAGCAACATTTAAGGAGACATGGCGACGTAAGAAGTAGGCAATGAAGTCTCTTCAAAACCTATTGCATACTCTAGGAGCGTAGATTTTAGGAGAGAGGGTTGGCTCATTTGTCCAAAATATTAAACTAACCTCACAAACCACATAACAATTTAATCACGGTTTAAAGTGAAGCCCGACCCCAGGGCTTTTTCTTTACTTCTAAGATTTTATGTCCACCACATTGTCTAAGTTGACATAGATACAGGGTTATGACAGCAACTGTATGATAAATCAGATTTAAAATGGGTGTTTACAAAGAAGTAGACAACATCTTTACAGCATACTGTACATGGTGTACACTACTGTAGATTCAAAGAATCAAGATTCAAAGTGTTTATTCTCATATGCATAATATGGAAAGGTGTTTCCCTGCACAATGAAATTCTTACTTTGCTGTCCACACTGAATGTCAAACAATACAAGTGAAACAACACAAGTGAAATATAAAGAAGATAAACAGCAACACAAAATCTAAAGGCACTTTAAGAGGAAGGTGAAAACAAATATAATAAAAAGTATGTAAAAACGTAATGAAAACACAAGGAGATAATGTATGCTACACTGAAGCTGTATGTGCAATATTCAGCAGTGGGTGTGCAATTATGCATGTGCAAAATGGGTATGTAAACAGTACAGATGGAATTACATGAGGTAGATCTTGAGTCAGCTGTTTAGGAGTCTGATGGCAGTTGGAAAGAAAGTTTTTCATTCTAGAAGAAGGAGAGGGCAGTGGAGTCCTGGTGATCTTCTCCACAGTCTTTACCACTCTCTGCAGGCACTTGCAGTCCATTGCAGCAGTGCTGCCATACCAGACGGTGATGCAGCTGGTCAGGATGCTCTCGAAAATCCAGCTGTAGAAGTTGCTGAGGATCCTAGGCAACATGCCAAACCTCCTCAGCCTACTCAGGAAGTACAGCTGCTGTTGGGCCTTCTTGACCAGCTGTGTGGTGTTGTGTCTAAGCGAGGTCCTCAATGATGTGGACGCCCAGGTACTTGAAGCTGCTCACCCTCTCCACTTCAAGCTCCCGGGTGAACAGTGGCTGATGAGATCTCCTCTCCTTCCTCATGTCCACTATCATCTCCTTCGTCTTGTCCGTGTTGAGGCTGAGATTATTGTCCTTGCACCATGACACCAAACCGGCCACCTCCCTCCTGTAGGCTGCTTCGTCCCCGCCAGTGATGCGACCTGTCACTGTGTTGTCGTCCGCAAACTGTAGGATGATGTCTCTGTGGAAGGCGACACAGTCGTGGGTGAACAGGGTGTAGAGGATGGGACTGAGGACACATCCCTGTGGGGTGCCAGTGTTTGTAGTGATGCTGGCTGAAGTCCTGTTGCCAGTCCTGATAGTCTGGGGCCTGCCAGTCAGAAAGTCTAGGATCCAGTCACAGAGGGTTGGGTACAGACCTAGTGTGGACAATTTGTGGGTGAGTTTGTGGGGGACAACTGTGTTGAAGGTGGAGCTGTAGGGCAGCCGCGATAGCATCTGAGGTGGCCCTGTTGGGCCGGTAGGCATACTGCAGGGGGTCCAGGGTGTCCGATATGCTTCTCTGGATGTGGGTCAGCACCACTCTCTCAAAACACTTTATAATGATTGGAGTGAGTGCCACTGGCCAGACATTTGGGGGGGGGGGGTGTTGGCTGGGGCCGGGGGGAAGGCAGGCTGTGTGTGGAAGAGATGATGCTGGTGGTGGTCCTGTAGTCTGAGATGTGCTGCAGGCCCTGCTACCGTTCGGAGTCAGCAGTAGAATAGAAGCCATTCAGCTTCTCTCTGTACTGCCTCTTGGCTGTGATGGCTTTCCTCAGTCTGTACTTCACAGCTTCGTACTCCGTCTCATTGCCTGGACTGAATGCATGAGAGTGAGCACACAGCATGTGGCGTACCTGACTGTTTATTCAGGGCTTCTGGTTGGGGAACCTGCTGACTTGTATGGTAAGCACAATGTTGTCAATACAAGTACTGATGTACCCAGTCACCACTGCAGGGTGCATAGGAAAGCTGCCTCCATCCTCAAGGACCCCACCCACCCCCAGCATGGACTGTTTATACCCCTACCCTCCGGTTGGAGGCTCAGAAGTGTGAAATGCAGGACTTCTAGACTGAAAAGCTCCTTCTTTCCCTCTGCCATCAGACTCTTAAACAGCCGACTCAGGATCTACCTCATGTAATTCCATCTGTACTGTTTACATACTCATTTTTCACATGCATAATTGCACACCCACTGCTGAGTATTTGCACTCCACAGCTCCCACGTAGCATATATTCTCTCTGCATTGTGTTCTTGTATTTTTATTTGCTTCCTTCACTTGCTGCTTAAAGTGCCTTAGATTTGTGTTATTGCTCATCTACTTTATATTTCACTTGTATTATGTGGCATTTATGTGGACTGCAAAGTAAGAATTTCATTGTACAGGGAAACATGTTTCCTAACTGTGTATATGACAAACACTTTGACCTTGACCTTTAAAGGGAAGAAAGTGAGAATGCGGTACATGGGCCCGCAAATAGTTATAAAAGGCAACAGGCTGATCCATATGACTCAGCTGACTGGTCTCTCCCCTACCAGACATTATGGTAGTGGAGCTGCCGTGACTGGTCATGCCAGAAGGCGCTTCCCTATAGTGAGAAGCTGAGCAAGGTTTGAAAGAGAACCATTTATTTTGGAAATTATAGTTGGACAAATAACCTTATCTCGCAGTCGACCTACTTGTTTGTGTTTTCAAATGCATCAAGGCCTTCATGAAGTCTACCTAATGTTGCTGATTCAACTATGATATATTCATTTTGTGAAAGACTACAGAAACACTGTATATAGCCTACCTCAAGAAATGTTTAATCTATTATTCAGATTGATACCAAGCTCACCCCAAATTTTACATATTTTTTTATTTGTTATGCTACATAATTAGTTAAAACACACAAATCATCAAAAATGTATATCCTGCCTGTTCAACCATGCCACTGACTGAAATCACTAGATAAATACAATTTGAGTCTGTTGTAATAAAGTGCTGAAATGATGGTTTATGAGATGTAAAATTGAATGTCTGAGATGCCAAGCTTCACATACTTTGTAGCTTTATAATGAACAGAACTACCTTCAAAAGGTCAGTTAAGCATCACAAAAGATGATAAACTGTCTTCTACACCAAATTATTATAGGTTAAGAGTCACATCCTCTTTTCTCAGCTTTCCCAGCCATATTCCACTCAGTAGTGTAGGCAAAATACACAAAGACACACAATGTTGTTATTCATTTGTGTATGAGATCAGAACTGCCTTTTAGCTACTATTCACTGTTGCTCAGATACCATCACTGACAAAATCCACCACTGTCTCATCTTAATAGGAGTCCTTTTATGAATAAGAGAGAGACACTGAGAAATACAAGAGAGAATGTTATGTCTGTAGACCATAATCCCTTTAATGTCTGCATTTAAAACCACATTAAAGGCAGGATGTCATCAAATCACTAAGTGCAACACAGAAATGAAGAGACTGCCAGGCAACTGATGTCTAGCAGTCAGCTCAGAGTACACATGATAGTTCTGAGTTGTGCCACAGCAGCAAAGAATTTCTGAATGGACAGAAAGGTTGCTGCATGGGTTATGAAAAGGAAAGTGGCGTGGAAGATTTTTACTTCAGGTAAATCAAGTAAAAATTACACAGTATACATTAGACAAAGCAGGTATATATAAAAACAATGACTGTACTTAAAAATGTTTGTGATGATAGCTACTAAAAATTAACTCAGATGCATGAATGAAAATATACCAAATTTGTGACCAGGGTTGTAAGACAGTCAAGGCTCTTTGAAGTTGAGGTGGAATTAAAGCTCTAAAGTTTCTCAGCTCTCAACTGAGTCTATGCCCAAGTGAGCAACACACATCTGGGCCTAGAAGAGGCTTTTGTCCCTTGGGGAGAGTCATTAAGCACAGGCATGTCAGTTAATCCTTTGAGCAAGAGGGAAAGCATTTGACAATGGCTGTATGAGAGTCATGCCTCAGGAAAAGAATTACACAAAACAGATGTGGGATAAGGGGAAACACTTTTTAGAATCTGTAAAAGGACAAAGAAAGTGCACAAACATGTTTGCCTGCAAAAAGGTGATGCAATGCAATATTACCACTGATAGCTTCAAACTGCCTAAAGAAGTGTCTCTGTTCTTGCAGTAAGGAAGATTTATAGTAGTCACAACTCACAACATGACCTTCATACCTCTGCACACATGACACATTCTCATATACAGTATTACATGAAACTCCCTTGTGGAGACTGTCCCTGACCTAGTACCCTATTTTTTTAGCCATTTATCTGATCACAGAAACAACTAACGTTATACATGCTCTCTTGCTGAACTGTTCTTTTGCATGTGTTAACTGTCAAATTTCTAAGTGCCGTCGGCCAATGCTGTGCCAAATCTTTTTAGCATGATTACTTTTATGCCTTGTTTTTTTTTTTATCTACAGTATAACCTGTGTTTTTCTGTGAATAGAATACATGAATATCATCATATTTCACTTTCAACCTGCCATCAGTTCACAGACCTCCCCCATGTATGCTTCTTTGCCAAAGACATACAAATGAGAGAACAAACCTGCTCCAAGTTTAGCAACCTCCTCAAGCTCTGCAGATGTTTTGGCTAAAGTAATGGTCTCTGGAAGCTTCAGGGGGAAAGGCAACACATCCCTAAGAAAAAGGGAAAATTTTCAGTCAAAGGCAGAAAAACTAGGGAAAAATACACGAGTGAAAGAGGATGGGATTGGAAGCCCATTCCTAAATATGTTTGTCACAGTGGTAGAAAGGAGGAGCGTGGATTGTCCTGTGGGTCTTTTGGCAAGACCTATAAAAAATTTACATGGTTTCCAAAGGTTTCACTCACTAAACCCTGAGTGGTCACAGATGAAAATTACACTTACTGAATAGTAAATTACACTTAAAGAAAATAGTAATCATCTCTAAGTGAAAACTGGACACATAAAATGTAATAAATGACTGCAGTTGAAAAGGCTACAAGAGGCAAAACAATTATCTAAAAACTGTCTAGACAAATGTGAAATGGCATTTTGAGTATCTAGGAATTCTGAATACATAAATACATAATGCTAACTTATGTTTATAAGATCATGTGCATATAGTTAACCAAGTTAAAAAAAAATTACAGGTGCTCTGTGGAATTTTTGACCACTGGTAGCATTGAGGTTCATCCTTTGGTTGTCTCGTGTGAACTCAAGGAAAAACAAGAAGGTGCACATCCTGCTATTCCATTAGTCTAAAGTTGGCAGAAACAGGTCAAGATATACAACAATGTGCCAACAAATGCAGGGAAGAAGAAAAATGCTAGATTGTAATTGTGAAGGCCTCAGCCCTGGTCTTCACTATGTGAGGGCCTAAACCACCACCAGCAGTAGAATTAGATAGGTAATGTTGTTTTGTTTTCTTTCTTTATGTGTGTAGACTTAAGTTGTAGGTAGAACTTAGGCATTTGATTTGACATTGGACATACACAATTAATCAATGAAGCATGCACATTTGGTCAATTTTACATTGTTAATGTGTGTAAATTTTCTGTTTGAGTTATCGTGTTCCTGGTCCATAGATGGGGGTAGTTCTGACAAAAAAGACTGGACTGAGGCAGCAGCAGGCTTAAATACCTCCAACTAGGCTTGGACTGTACCAAGTGCCCAATACAAGAAAGGGGGACTTTGGGAGAAGTATATTGTTTGTTAAAAAAAAAACTTTCTTTGTCAAGTTTTTTTTAAATCAAGAAAAATATTTAGTTGTTAGCAGACTGTCTGTTCAGTGTTTATTGATAGATTATTTTGATAGTGTCTTTGTCCATTCCCTGTGTGTGTTATTGGGTTGGCCAGTCAGTATATATGTTTCCCTGTGTGTAGTGATGGCTGATGAGGCTTTGTTGAAGCGTCGACACAGTGTTTACACAAATGGTTCATTACTTGAGGCCTCAATGACACAGTGCTCCAGTGATTCACCATGCACATTCCTGTGGATGTAGTGGATTCCTACACTACATGGTTGTATTTCAAGCTGACACAATAAAATATAAAATAAACATGGACACATGGTGAAGACCATGTTTCTGATGTGGCACGTCTGACTGTAACTCTATATACTCCTCACTTATATTTTGTATTATGAAAACATTTAAATGGTGCTGCTACATTCATGAGATGAGATGTGGTCTACAAATTCAGACAGATCTCATTTTCACATGGGACTGGTGCAAATACAGATTATAGTATGGACTTCTGCAAAGTTTGTTTTGGGGTTCATTGGTAAAGAGGTCCCTGCGATGGATTGGCGACCTGTCCAGGGCGTACCCCGCCGTCGCCCGATTGCTGGCCGGGATTGGCTCCGCCCCCCCCCCCCCCCCGGGAAGAACAGGGCAGTGGGTGTGCTTGTGTAATTGTTTGAGTTTTTATTGAGAAATAACAGTATATCCACAGTTTTCAGACACAAGCAGCTTCTCCTTTTACAGACTATTTCCCCAGCCTTGGAAAAAACCCGGTCACATGGCACAGATGAGGCTGGGGTACACAGGAAATGCTTGGATAATTCATAGAGGTTTGGGTAACTATATATGTAATATATCTATATCTACAATCAGGGAATAAAATTATTCGAACCCCAGCTGATTTTGTAAGTTTGCCCACTAACAAAGAAATGATCAGTCTACAATTTTAATGGTAGGTTTATGTGAACAGTGAGAGACACAACAATAACAAAAAAATCCAGAAAAATGCATACAAAACAAGTTATAAAATAATTTGCATTTTCATAGGGAGGAGTTGAAATGTCTTCAGTCAAAGTAACTCCGTTGGTGAGCCGGGGGTCCCGCGTGGGTCCCGTATTCAGCACGAAAGACCAGTGCGCGTTTGTCAAAATGTCGAGCGGGGACGAGAAGAGAGCCGTCGTGAACACCACCAGCATGACTCTCGTCGAATACGCCGATAGACACGAGTACCACGGAGGGGCTCTGCGTTCGGACCAGTCTCTGTTCGTGCCGATCTTCTGCAAAGAATGCTACGGCACCGAGGAGGCGGATTATGCCGAGGCGCTGGCCAACATCGTTTCGTGCGGGAACGACAGGTTCCTCGTGGGGACGTGTAGCGTGTTCGGAGTGGCGCCGGGCGAGATGTACCCGGAGTCGAGAAGAGACTTTATCGTGGGGAACGACGTGTCGTACGCCGGAGCGTGCCACCCGCAGCCCGGCAAGGCCGTGTTCCTGCACAAAGACAAGAAGGACATCGGTCGGGTCAAGTGCTACTGGCACGTGCACAGCAGGACCGTCGACAAGACCTTCCTGTACTGCTGCGTGGCGTGCGACGACAACGAGTACACCAGGGGCGTCGTGACGCCGGAGACGATGAGCATGGGCTTCAGCCTAGGCACGGTGGGCGATAACGAGAGCGGCCCCGTGACAGAGGAGTGTAGCTTGGTCTCCGTGCCCATGAGGCCGGGCTGCTTTTGCACGCTGGTGACGGCTCAGGATCTGGCCCAGACCATGACCAGGATGGGGTTCTCTGTCCTGAAGGACTCCGCGCTCGACGCGGGCCTCAATCCGAAGGAGAGCTCCGGGATGGTCGGCGACGCGTCGGCCGAGGACGTCGAGGGGCAGAGCGTCGCGGAGACCGTGACGTCCCTGAAGAAGGCCGTGCTGGAGCAAACCGCCGAAGTGCGAGTGCTCAAGGACGTGTTAGAGGCCATCAAGGTTCAGAATAGCGTACTGACTCAGAGGCTGAAACGTCCCGACGATCCCGACGTGCTGTTCACGGTGCGAGGAGCTCGGGATTTCACCCGACGTACCGGGGTGAAAACTAAACTCTGCGCCGGTATTAAGCCTACTGACGAAGACGCTAACGCTAGCGGAGCGACTAAACCCGAGCGAGGGACGGAAGAGGATGCGATGGCTCAGACTCACATCGACGAGCTGATCAAGCTTTTGCAGCAGCAGCAGCAGGAGCCGCCGAAAAAGCATGAAACATAAGGGTGCATACATCCATTTGAATAAAAGCATGTATGCACACATACATAATTATACAAAATAAAATGAAATAAACAAAAAAACAATGTTTATTGACCAAAGGTGTAGGCTGAAGCTAAAGCTTATTATGCCTACCCTTACTCCACACAAGCAGCACTAAAGGACATAAATTTAATCTAAAAAAATACTTGTATTCTGAATATATATTTAGAAGAACATTCATTATGATTATTATTTTCATCATGGGCAGCACAGTGGCGCAGTGGTTAGCGCTGTTGCCTCACAGCGAGAGGTTCCTGGGACCTTTCTGTGTGGTGTTTGCATGTTCTCCCCATGCTTGCGTGGGTTCTCTCCGGGTACTCCGGCTTCCTCCCACAGTCCAAAGACATGCAGGTTGATTGGTGTCTCTAAATTGCCCATAGGAGTGCATGTGCGTGTGTGTGGTTGTTCATCTATGTGTTAGCCCTGCGATGGATTGGCGACCTGTCCAGGGTGTACCCCACCTTTGCCTGATTGCCGGCCGGGATTGCCCCCCATTCCCCCCATTCAGGGCTCAAACTTATCTGTCAATTTGGTGAAGAGGTTGGAATCTGGATTGATTGATTGCTTCTGTGGACAGGTCTCTTTTATACAGGTAACCAGCTGAGAGGGCTCCCAATGTCAGCTCGTTACCTGTATAAAATACACCTGGGAGCCAGAGATCTTGCTGACTGATAGGGGATCAAATACTTATTTCATTCATGCAAATGCAAATTAATGTATAACTTTTTTTGTAATGCATTTTTCTGGATTTTTTTGGTATTGTTGTGTCTCTCACTGTTCAAATAAACCTACCATTGAAATTGTAGACTGATCATTTCTTTGTTAGTAGGCAAACTTACAAAATCAGCTGGGGTTCAAATAATTTTTTCCCTGACTGTTCCTAGGACTGCACTCTTCTGGACATAGATCTCAGATGTTGTTCCTGGGATCTGTTGGAGCCACTGTCCCAGTTTGGGGGTCACAGCCCCCAATGTTCCTATTACCACGGGGACCACTTATGCCTTCACCTTCCACATCTTTTCTAGCTCTTCTTTCAGCCCTTGGTATTTCTCAAGCTTCTCATGTTCCTTCTTCCTGATGTTGCTATCGCTCAGGATTGCTACATCTATCACTACAGCCTTCTTCTGTTTGTCCACCACTACTATGTCCAGTTGGTTGGCCATTACCAGTTTGTCACTTTGTATCTGGAAGTCCCACAGGATCTTAGCTTGGTCATTCTCAACCATCTTTGGAGGTGTATCCCATTTTGACTTTGGGACTTCCAGCCTTAGCACAGATGTTTCTGCACACTATGCCAGCCACTTGGTTATGGCGTTCTGGTAGGATTTTTCGATATCAGCTACTTCTTCTATTTGATGGTGTTACATACCGTGCAGAGGTTTGTCCTTCCACGAAGGTTCCTGCTCTTCCTTCTCTTGTTCCTATGGTTTCTGCTGCCTGAAGGTATTCACTAAGCAGGTCATCATTCAGGGCCATCTCCCAGATGTATTCATGGGTCTTTGTTGTTTCATCCTGGATAGTGGTTCTGACGCTCACTAATCCTCAGCCTCCTTTCTTCCGCTTAGTGTAGAGTCTCAGGATGCTGGATTTGGGGTGAAACCCTCGGTGCATTGTAAGGAGCTTCCTTGTCTTGATGTCAGTGGCCCGTATTTCCTCCTTTGGCCAGCTTATTATGCCAGCAGGGTATCCCGTAATATTATGCATTCCATAATTATTGTAATTTCTCTTCCTTTTTGCTTTTAATTAAACTTTTAATCTCAGCCTTACTATATTTTATTGCTATACAAACATCTCTTTTTAAGTGCAGCTTTTGCATAGTTATCTGCCAGTTCATTGCCTTCCACCCCGATATGTACAGGAACCCAAATTAATCTAACATCTATTCCGACCCTCTTACTTCTGACTATCACACAAGCTATTTCAAGAATTATGTCATGCCTCTATTCTGACTGAATGCACCCAATACTCAATAAAGAACTGCTAGAATCTGATCCAATTAGGACTTTTAATGGCTTATTTTCTTCTACCCATTGTAATGCTATTAAAATAGCTATTAATTCTCCTGTGTATACTGAGAGATTATAACTAATCTGTTTATTTGACATCAAACATGGATCACATGAGAGTGGTTTGTATTTCTTTGTGTAATCATTTGTAACTCTGAACTCACCTGCTGATGCAGCAGAAAGCCACCAAATGGAAAAGGTCTCCAAAGCTCAGGCCTGATCCCTCCAAAGAGAAAGCTGTAGAAACACAGAACATTAATCTAGATCAAAGAAATGACAAGTTTGTGAACGCCTAAGATCATAATGACTCTGCTTCAGTGTATGCATGCATCAGCTTATTTCACTGCCAAAGGACAAAGACAACATGGCTCAGAAATAAGCACAAAAACCAAGGGCCAAGTTTTACACCCGTGCAAATAAAGGAAGGGTTGAATTTCTCCTTACAATCCCTAAAGTAAATTGAAGGGGTAAAAGAATCAGACCGATATTAAAAACATCAGATAAATAAGAGGAAAAAATACCAACAGGAATAACTGTAGTGGTAAACACTATCCCCATATGAACTCAAATGATAGCTTTGTGAATTTGTAATAGATTGAGAACATGTTTGTTTACAACTTGGCACACAACCAAACATGACCAAAGGGAAAAGGCAAATGCAGTATGCTTTTACACACACACTGTATATACTGCGTAGTGTATATACTAATGCTACTATACAAGTAACCCCAGCGAGAGGGGGTTACATACGGAAGATTTGGGACCTATGGATACTTCAAAACACAACATCTAGACTAACACCGAAACAACTAATAGCTCAGTGCTGTAACATCTGCGAGAAGCACCTGCTATCACAACTAGAGATTGATGAAATACAACACGAATGCTACGGCAAGGGGGAGCCAGGACTACAGGTCACGGAGGAGATATCATCACCCACACAATTGGAGATTGGGTACCAAGCCCCGGTAACAAGCCCAGATGAGTTTAATGCACTAGCAGCTGACCTGAGATTGAAGATTGCAACTAAGATGGACACCTGGAACCTCCGTGGCCAGTTACCAAGACTAAGTGAAGTGCCTTCTAAAAGGCTATTAGAGGACGTGAATGCAGCACTATGAACAATCCCTACTACGGCCTTCACTGAGACCAACAAGCTGATATACACCATAGCAACCACGATGTTTGAGATGCTTGGCTATAAGTTCAACAAAGGCCACAAGGAGCAGTATCCTTCATGGAGAAGGAGGTTGGAGGCCAAGATCAAGGCAGCAAGGAGAGAAGTTAGCCAGCTATCGGAATTGCAGAGAGGCATGATGAAGAAAGGGGTAACTAAGAAATACAACACTCTGTTCACACCTGAGGCCTTAGAGACTGCCAAGCAAAGGCTCACAGCCCTGGCCACCCAGTTGAAGAGTACACCCGAGAAGTTGAAGCCAGGAGAATAAACTGAATGTTGTTCACTGAGCCATCCAAGGTGTACTCTCGGTAGCAGGGTAATAACATGAGAGCAGATCCACCAAGGCTGGAGACTGAACAATTCTAGAAGAACATAAGGGAGAAGGAGGCATCACATAACAACAATGCCCACTGGCTGGTGGACCTGAGAGCAGACCACAGCACACTCCCTGAATCATCACAATGGCAGACATCCAAGAGAGGGTCTCAAGTATGAAGAGCTGGACAGCACCAGGCCTTGACATAATCCACGCCTACTGGTTACAGAAACTAACTTCACTCCATGAGTGCCTGGCAGGACAAATGAACCAGCTACTAATGGATGGAACCCACCCTGAGTGGTTAACCAAAGGTCGGACAGTCCTGATCCTGAAGGACACTCAGAAGGGAGCACTACCTTCCAACTACCGCCCAATAACCTGCCTCTGCACAACATGGAAGTTCCTGTCAGGCATCATAGCAGCTATGATGGGCAGGCACATGGCTCAATACATGAGCAGGGCTCAGGAAGGAATTGGTAGTAATACCAAAAGGAGCAAAGCACCAGCTGCTGGTTGATAAAGTAGTCACTCGAGACTGCAAGACCAGGCATACCAACCTGTGCACTGCCTGGATTGACTACAAGAAAGCCTATGACTCAATGCCTCACACATGGATCCTGGAATGCTTGGAACTGTACAACATCAACAGGACTCTAAGAGCCTTTCATCAAGAACTCAATGGGAATGTGGAAAACAACCCTAGAGGCAAACTTCAAGCCAATTACACAAGTCAACATCAAGTGCTCTTTTCCCGCTATGTCCCCTATGTCCAGAAGAGTGCAGTCCTAGGAACAGCTAAGATACTGGGCCTCTGGTAGAGGACCCGAGCTTGAAGGAAGGAATAGAAGACCGTCCCAAAGTGGGGGGTGAGTGGGGGATTTTTTTTTTTTTTTTTTACTGTATATATAAGAACTGTGTTAGTAATTAGGGACAAAGATAAGAAGAACATATAAAAAGAAATGACTGAAATGTGCAAGTACACAACTTGGTAAAATTGAGTATGTTTTAGTTTTGTCACTACATTTAAGTCCAGATAAAACACATCTACACAATAAAATAACAGCAAAAAATGCATAATCAAAACAAATACATCAATCAGTAAAATTGTTAAAAGCCAGTGAATACAAATGCGTTTTGAGAAGTGATTTAAAAACAGCCAGGTTTGGAGCAGATCTAATATCCAGTGGCAGACCATTCCACAGTATAGGAGCCCGAACAGAAAAAGCTCGGTCTCCCCAATGTTTCTGTCTGGACTTCGGTACTTCCAGGAACAACTGGTTAGAAGACCTACGTGTCCTTTCAGGAGCATAAAAACTCACAAGCTCAGAGATATATGAAGGTGCTAGACCATGTACAGCCTTATAGGCAAACATCAACAATTTAAAATCAATCCTAAAACAAACAGTAAGCCAATGGACTGAGGCAAGAACTGGAGTTACAGTATGAAACCCGAAAAAAACTTAGAAAATTTTTAGGTCGAAGACGTTTCACCTCTCATCCAAGAGGCTTCATCAGTGCTGCCCAACTGGCGTTGAGCCAGAGATATTTATCCCCATCGGTGGGGTTTCAGTCCTTTGATGCCCAACGAGTCGTTATAGCCCAGTATCGGTGAGCGTCGTTACCTGTCTTGGAACCCTCACCTGTGGGCCGACGCCTGTTGTCCTGGTGAGCATGTTTGGGCAGAGATCTCAAAACAGAGTTGTACATGGATGACAAGTTGTGTCTTAGTCACACATAAAGTCATTATAAAAAAACCTAGTCCAGTTGATTTTTTAAAAGGTTTTTCAGCTTGCTATGACCTGGATGACCGAGAATCTGCACGGACATATATGAAACCTCGCATCAGATAACCATTTAATTCAGGTACAAAACCACCACTGTGTGGTGCAGGGGATGGGAGGGGTCATGCATGATGGATGTTAGTTTTACCCCCCCCCCCCCCCCCACACACGCCGTAGTCACCCACCAGCAGCTCTCCTCATCGGCACCATCCAGTCTGGGCCAGCCTTCCTACAGCTACCGTCTCTCTCACTTCCTTTCTTAATTTCCCTCCGGCTGGAGAATAGACAGACTCATCTCAACTGAACTCACTTTGAGGGATAGTGAATGAGTGCCGTGATTACAGAATTTGATACCAATAAGGGACGTAAAATTCACATTTTATAAGTGAATTTCTGCTACCTAGTAGCAGTTGTCTCCCCAAATTGTCTGATTCCTTTTTGATTTCCCTCCGGCTGGAGAATAGACAGAGAGTCATCTCAACTGAAGAGATGCTCTTTGATACATTCCACACGTAATAATGGCACAGGGAAATCGCCAGTTTATTATTTTTCATGGAATGTGTGGGTGGTTAACTGCACAACAGGCTGATTAAAACGTTGTTCACAGGCGTATCACGACTGAATAAGTAGGTTCGGCTGTGAGAATTCACTGTGACTCGACGTGCCTTTTGCAGCTGTGTACTGTGTCCGGGAGGGAATAGGCTTACGGGGAACTGTATTAGCTTATGGTGGCGCCTGTTCTTGTGAGATAAAACGGTGTTAATCGGCTGGGAATCAACCCCCAGGACCTGCGCACATCAGAAATTAGGCTGATGTAGAATGTTCGCAGAGTCAGCTGGTTTTCACTGGGCCAAGAGCCTCTCATAACTGAGAGCGTCACATGTGGCATTTATTTTTCATTATGGCTGATTGGCCTTTCTTCCAGACCTGAATAATATCACAATCTGGGACTTTAGGTGCTATTTTGTATCAGCTGTTAAACAAATGGCTTGGCACACTGAGTTCAAGCAAATATTGTAGTGAAACACAGCGTTTTGTAACATGGGCTGAAAAAATGTGTGAGAAAGGAATGTTCAGTGCCTATGACGAAGCCCCCCAAGAGGAGGGAGCTGTAAGATTGTATATTAAACAAGCAGCTCGCTCAGCTGCTAAAGCACGTCTGCGTGACAGTACAGCGTCTTTACTACAGAAACACAAAACAGAAGCTAAAGTTAAACACTGTGAGACATTCCTTCAGGACTGTCTCTGTTTTTTGGCTCAATTTGAAAAAATTCAGAAAACCACAGCCAGTGGAAAAGAAACACACAAGTCTGCCTCTATTCGGTGGTACACATACACAGACAGATTCCAGCTCAGAGGAATCTCGAGGTCACTCACACACACACACCCTCAGCCCCCCCTCCTCACTCTTAAACTTCTCTGCATGAAAGCAGCTGGGACACAAAATTTCAAAGTAATGCACAACACCAGATGCCATTAGTTACCCCTGCCGTGAGTAATCAAAATGTTTCACTGTTAGTTGTTGTACACGGGGGAATATTACAGACAGCTGCTTTTCCTAATAAAGAAAAGGACTGGCGTAGCGCTCAACAATATCTGGACGGTGTTAGAGCGGAGTCTGAAGCACAGACTGCTGCTCTCAGGAATGAAGCTTGCGCTTCTGGCCAATATAGTACTTCTGTAGTTTCAAATCCTGTGAAAAAGTTGCAAAAAGCGTGTGGCTGGTCTCTGAAGAAGTTCCTTGTTGGTGGGACAATCTCTCATTTCATCATTCGTTTCTACTTTCTTCCTCCTGTTCCCGTTATCTTCTTGCATG